GCGGCGCGGGGCGCGTTTTCTGGTCTGCTGTTCGAGTCGTGGCACCGGCGCGGCGCGGTGAACGTCCGAGGGGCTGGTACGAGCTTGGACCGCATGTATGTCATCACGTTTCGGGGTCGTTCGGGTTCGTTCGATATCGGAATTCGATTTCCATTTGTTTCTGTGTACTCCCAACGAAATGCCTTCTTTAATCATGTTCGCCCGATACGTTAATCGCGAAAAATAAATTCTCTCGAGACCTATAGCCTACACGCCAAAGACACGAGAAAAACGCAAAAAATCCAGAAAAACAAACTAAAAACAAAGAGAAGAATAAAATAAAATGAACACGCAATAAATTACGAAAAGAACTAAAAAAACTAACCAAACGATCAAATATGGGGAAAAAGAAAGGACAAAATAAACGCGAAAAACGCAACAAAAATGGGACAAACAATTGTGTGCAGTGTTTGTCCTTTATACTACCGTGGGGTGTATCACTTAGTTGTGTTGTTGGTTCCCTGTTTGTTCTGGTTTGTACTGTTGTTTTTTGGGTTGGTTATAATATCTTCTATCATTGTAGAAAAAAATATATATTGTTGTTGAAGAAAATGCAAGTCTATTGATAAGAGTCAATGGAAATTTTTAATTGTGATTTTGTTGGTGTATTTGGTAGCGGTTTTATGTTAACTAAAGATTGTTATTTGCAACGGCGATAGTGTTAACGAACTCAATTTGCCTACAACAGATTAGACATGACTACAGACCACCAACCCAGCTCGCACCGACCTATGATCAACGAGCCGTAAATCGAGCCCGTGATTTGACTGAGCCGATTTCGAGCTAAAGATTTTTAGTGTTCGAACAGTCATGCCGATTTCGAACTGAAACTAGAACTGTCTCGACTATTATATATATATATATATTTTTTAATTTAACCAAGCAGGCCCAAAACCACTGGTTCATTGAACCGACCCGTGCATATGTTCGGGTTGATTCAGGGCCCTCCAACCCTCGACCTGGAACCGACAGTTCCGTCTGGAAACCGGCTGTTCCCACCCGAAACTGGAAATGACCATTTCTACAACTGATGTTATAAATGAAAACAAAAATAATTGTTTTAAAATGTCTTAAATTATATATTTTTTAAAATTTCTATATTATGTATATATTATAAATATTTTATTTATATAATCAAATTGTAATACATCAGTGCACCTTTTAGATAGAGGTGACAAGGGTCGAACTGGCCCGCCGAATCCGTTTGGAATCGGACCCACGGTAAAATCGGGTCAGTTCCGGGTCTTTTTTTTTTAACCCGCCAGTTACGGACTGAAAGACGAATCCGAGTTGTTTTTATTTATTTTTTATTACAAAAATCGGCGGTTCAATGAACCGCTTTTGAGGTTAATTCTAAGTTAAAGCAAACTAGTACAACGCCCGTGTATTACACGGGTGTTTGTTAAAACATTATTGTTAAATTATAAAATTAATGAGAAAAATTATTTTTAATTTTATTTACTTTTTTACAAAAAATATATATTAATTTTAAAATGACATGTGTTACTTATGCGACTTACATGTGTTATATTATAGTAATTTTATAACTTATATCATATCTATTAATATATAAAGAGGGAATGATATTTATTTGAAAAAAGATGAAAAAAATTAGCAAAAAAAATAAGCCAATTCCCGCCCAAAGTGAATAAAATGAAAAAGATTTTTGGCTAAAAATTAAAATTCGAGCGCCATCTAACCAATTTTGAAAATTTTGAAAAAATAAATAAATTAAAAAATCTAAATAAAAAGATTACATGAAGATTTTTTGGAGATTCCATATTATCTAACTTTCATACATTAGGAATGAAACATTTGTCCTATTTTCATTGGTCCACTATAAATTTTATATGATAAGATAAGTATAACTCAAATTATTGATATTATTTTATTTTAAAAATAAAATAAAAAATACCAAATTTCGTATTTTTTCATACTCTATAAATAGAGACCACTCTTGATATGTTTTGGAACACAATTAGAATTATTATGTTGGTTTAGGTTGTAGATAAAACAATACCAAACAATGTATTGTAGATAATATTTATTAAATAAATAAATAAAAATAAAATAAATATTATACTATCTTTATTAGGTCACCAACTAAAAAATAAAAAAAACAAAAAAAAAAATAGCAAAATCCGCGACTCAGGTCAAATTGTGACCCTAGATCGCAACCTAGCCAGACGGAGGGAGAGAGAAATGAGGTGAGTGAAATGGGGCAAGTGTTCCATTCTTATTGGTCTATAAAATTTTTCTATAATAAGATAATTGTAACTCAAATTATTTATATTAATTTATATGAAAAAAATAAATAAAAATTTATTTTTCATTCTCTATAATAGAGACCACTCTGATATATTTTGGAACATAATTGCAATTTCTATCTTTTCACTTTTTTTTCTTAACCGTAACTTTTCAATTTTATCATATCTTTTATTTTATCATATCATAACTAAAACAATAACAAAAAAAATTATTGTAGATAATATTTAATAAATATATAAATAAATATAAAATAAATATTATGTTTGGTTGAGTTAGGTTGGGTTTAGGATAAAGGACTATTCTACTATGCCTTTTCCAGATATGAGTAGTATTAATTCAAGTGCGAACCGTCTGGTTTTGGATGAACTTAACTATGACCGTAAGGCTCTAGCTATTGAGCATGATGCATTGCTGACACATATGACCGATGAACAGAGGGTGTTTATTCCAAAATAATGACATATGTTCATTCCGGCAGGGGCGGCGTGTTTTTTGTGTATGATTATGGTGGAACTGAAAAGACATACGTGTGGAGGACTTTAGCTGCTTGGCTAAGATTGCACGGTCGAATTGTGCTTTGTGTTGCATCAAGTGGAATAACATCTTTCCTATTGCCGGGCGGACGAACTGCACAATATTCTCGATTTGGCATTCCTATTTCTGTGCATGAAAATTCATCGTGTGAGATCAATCAGGCTAGCCCCCTTGCTGAGTTGATTATTCGCTCTTCATTGATCATATGGGATGTGGTCCCAATGATGCATAAACATTGTTTTGAAGCTGTTCAAGCATCTTTTAAACAGTAATGGGATCCCTCGACCCGACAAATCATCATAAACCGTTCGGAGGCAAGACTGTTGTGTTTGGTGGACTTTCTACAAATCCTTCTGGTAGTTCCAAAGGGTAGTCGTCAGGAGATTGTTAATGCTACTATTAACTCTTCTAGCATTTAGGGAGAATGTAATGTGCTTAGGCTTACAAAGAATATGCGTCTTCAGAGCATTGGAGATTCAAATGAACATGACGAGTTTACCGCTTTTGCTGATTGGATAGCGAGCATTGGAGATGGAACATTGAGGGGTAAAAATGATGGATCTGATAGACATACCAAATGATCTATTACTAGAGCCATCCGATGATCCAGTTGCAAAAATTGTTGAAAGCACATTTACGATGTTCAAGAATGCAACCGACGATCCAAGTTACTTGAAGGATAGAGCTATACTTGCGCCAACACTCGATATCGTAGAATCTATTAATGAATACATGTCGTCGTTAAATTTGACTGAGGGTCGCATGTATTTAAGTTCATACAGTACGTGTAAATCCGACTCCAATACCGACTTTGTGGCACAACTCCATACTCCTGAGTTCTTGAACACTATCAAGTGTTTTGAAACGCCGAACCATGAATTGAATTTGAAGGTCGAAACTCCAGTTATGTTGTTGCGGAATATGGATCACTCAATGGGACTCTGCAATGGTACACGATTGGTTGTGACTAAACTCTCCAATCATGTTCTCGAGTGTAAAATTCTTACTGGCGATCATGCATGTGATAAAGTTTTGATACCTCGGACGACAATAACTCCTTCTGATGTTAGAGTATTACGCAATGACTATAAAGAAGAGTCAATGTCAATCATTATCGCATGTTGGCTTATTCTTGAAGAAACCAGTTTTTAGTCATGGCCAGTTAGTGTTACTAATAGAAAGGGTCTGAAAATTTTAATTTGTGGAGAAGAAGGTTTGAAAGAAAATCAAACCAATAATGTTGTGTATAGAGAAGTGTTTAATAATATATGATTTTTGTTTATATTTTGTATTTCTCTATCATCTTTCAATTGTAATTAAATTATTTATTTATAAAAAAATATTTAAAATAAAGTTAAAAAAAAGATTTGAGGAAATAACCCCGCCGTGCTGCGCACGGGTACCATACTAGTAACTACTTGAATACAGATATGTTAATTGGTAAGTAGTTTTATTTTTCTAATTAATATTAAAAAACAATTTTATTATTGTTATAAAGATAAATATAATTTATTTTTTTTATATATATAATATGAATGTTAAATCAAAGCTCATCTAGAGATGATTAATTTGATATATTATATATGTAAAATTGATAAAAAAAAAAGTAAAAATACAAAGTTATTAATTTTTAAATATACTAACATTTCAATTGTTATAATAAGAAATGATATTAAAATGCAATTAATACATGTAACATAAACATAAATAATCAACATATTTGTGGATAATTCAAACCTATATATTTTTGAATTGAAAGTAAATTAAAATTTATCTCAGCCTAATAACAAAACATGTAACTTTGCCACATACGATCCCAAAGTATGCGAGCCTACCACTTAGACTAAACACGTTCTTAATTAATATATGGGAGGGGGGTAATATGGTTGCAACCCTAGGATTTAGTACCACAGTTAAAGCAAATAAATTTTAACAGATAATACAACAAGTTTCATCCATAAATGGCAATTAGGCACCATTACGTACGAAGAATTTGGAGTAGAACATGATTTAGTAACCTATCAATGAAAAATATTACAACGTAACAATAATATAACAGCAGCTAACAATGAAAAATAAACATTATTGAGTCAACTGTACTTTACATCAGTACAGAAACAGATATAAATCGTCTTTTCCAACAAAACCAAACTATGTCCTCATTTTGTTGCCTGAGCAATTATATTACTTAAAGAATTTTCCTGCTCCTTAGCCGCCTCCACCAGAGAATCCTACAAACAAATACAATGTTATTCAGCTACAGGTACATATTTAACCTTGGGTACACAGCCCCGAAAATAAGGTACAGCGTTAGACTCTAACGTGTATCACGGAACTTTGATTAGCATACCTGTGCAGCTATTAGACGTGCAACAGTCTTCTTACTCGACTCTTGCAGTTCACCAGCAATTAGAATTTCGTCTAATATATAATAAGCCTGCCATAATGTCATCACATTACCCAATTTCAATTCAAATAAAAACAACTGTCGATATATATTCAACTAAATCAGGAAATGGAGGCGGGCAAAAAACTTCCGAAGACTGGTTATAATGCTTGCTTCATTAGCGAGAAACAACAGTAGATATATATTCAAATAAATGCGTAAATAGAGGAGAGCAGAAAACTTCTGAAGACCTGCTTGTAATAATTGCTTCATTAGTAAGACGTCATAAGTTATGCCGGAAATAGTCATCTAACCGAGAACCCCGAAAATACTAGTCAGCTAGTAAATGAACAGCAGCACTTATTTAATATAGAAAATGAAAAATCAGAAACTGCTCAAAAAAGAAATGCACAAGTTTCAAAAGTTACAAGACTATTTAACAATTGAAATAGGGTGTGGATTCTTGTCCTCCCCAATAACTTTAACATAAGCTTCCAAGAAAGAAGAGAATGGCAGCGGTCAAAAGAGGAACACAGGACTTAAAATTAGTTACCTATATTGTATTAAATTGTGTGTGTGGGATTAAAGAAAAATGAACGGATTTAAACAAGAAATTTATTTGAGTTGAGTGCAGTCAGCAAAAGGGTAACTTTGTTTTATTCAACAAAAAAATCCAAAGGTATCAATGTAAATGTTTACTGGCAAAAATATATCAACATGTGTCAGATCCAAGTAAGGCCAACCGAGGCATGCTGAATCTACCAAATATCAGAAAATATTACAATGTACATTTTGAGCCATCAAAAAATGAGTGAAGCAACTCCTGAAATTGTTGACACTGACGAAGTTTTCTACAACTTGGTCTAAACTAAGAACCGGAAAATATATAAAGGAGACTATCTAATTATGCATCTCTTATGTCCCGGCTTTCCAAATATAACATGAGAATATGCAGCTCAATAGTCATGACCATACAAGCCTATGATTGGAATCTGTAACACCACTCAATGGACTCAAGATAAGGTTGAAAACCTGGCTAAATACCTACACTGTAAATAACAGTCACGAACTAAAAATTGGTTTGCATCAGTCAACAATGACACAAATGAAGCCAATGGAGCTGTAACATAGCAATTAGTGGAAGAAAAGAGCCACAAGCAGCTGGTGGACAGTTCATAACATAAATCCTAATATCACCAAACGTTCAAAAGAAAAGTGCTATCTGGCGAATAAGAAACCAGCATGAAATCCAAATTAATTTTCAAAAAGTTCAAAAGCCGATTGAGGAGAAAAGAACATACCTTGTGGAAATTAAAGATCAAATCCAGTTCACAAACCTAAAAAACAAGAAACTTAAAATTTAAAATGTGATGTAAGTATATACAAATCACAAGCAATATGTGCATCAGATTATCGAGGGCCTCACACTTCCGAAGTAGCGATCTAGTATCTCAACAAAGTGATGGATAATTTCAAGTATCTCCAGTTCATTGTCATCCTGGT